ACATATTAATTTGTGGATATTGTACCATCCTTCCATCCCCAGAATAAATCCCACTTGATCATGGTGTATGATCTTTCTAATGTAATGCTGGATCCAATTTGCTAGGATTTGGTTGAGGATTTTAGCAACTATGTTCATCAAGGATATTGGCCTGTAGTTCTCTTTTTTTGTGGTGTCTTTATCTGGTTTTGGGTTTAGGTAAGGCTGGCTTCATAGAAAGAGCTTGGAAGTGTGCCTTCCTCTTTAATTTTTTGGTATAGTCTGAGGAGGATAGGTTTTAGTTCTTTGAATGCTTGGTAGAACTCCCCTGTAAAGCCATCCGGACCAGGACTTTTGTTTGAAGGAAGATTTTTGATCGCTGTTACAATTTCTTCTGTAGTTATCAACCTATTCAGGTTTTTTGACTCTTCTTGGTTGAGTTTTGGGAGCTTGTATTTTTCTAAGATTATGTCCATTTCATCTAGGTTTTCCATTTTGTTGGAATAGAGTTTTTCATCGTGTTTTTTCATAATCATTTGTATTTTTGTGGGATCAGTGTTATTTCACCTCTTTCATTTCTGATTTTGTTTATTTGGGTCCTCTCTCTTTGCTTCTTGGTGAGCCTGTCTAGAGGTTCATCAATCTTGTATATCCTTTCAAAGAACCAGCTGTTGGTTTCGTTGATCTTTTGTATTTTTTTTTTTGTCTCTATGTCGTTTATCTCCACTCTGATTGTTATTTCCTTCCTTCTGCTTACACTGGGCTTTTCTTGTTGCTCTCTTTCTAACTCTTTGAGTTGTAGGGTTAGATAATTTATTACCATTGTTTCTTGTTTTTTGAGGCAGGCCTATAGAGCTATGAACTTCCCTCTCAAGACTGCTTTCACTGTGTCCCATAGATTTTTGGATTGTTGTGTTTTCATTGTCGTTTGTTGCCATGATGCTTTTTATTTCTTCTTTGATCTCTCGGATAACCCAGTCATTGTTTAATAGCATGCTATTTAGCCTCCAGGTGTTTGATTTCATTTTTATTGTTTTTATCGTAGTTGATTTCTAGTTTTATGCCATTGTGATCTGAGATAGTGTTTGATTTGATTTCTATCTTCTTGAATTTGAAGAGACTTTGCCTGTGACTCAATATATGGTCTATCTTTGAAAATGACCTTTGTGCACTTGAGAAGAATGTATATTCTATGGCTTTGGGGTGAAATGTTCTGAAGATGTCAATCAATTCCATTTGGTCTAGTGCAGGGGTGGGCAAACTTTTTGACTCGAGGGCCACAATGGGTTCTTAAACTGGACTCAGAAGAAGGAGCTGTGGCCGTGTTTCTCGACGTTGCCATGTTAACACCGCTGCTGGTGAAGGAGTGGAGGGGAGAGCAAGAGAACCCTCCGCTCTTTCAGCTCCGCGGGCCGGATAGAATAGCCAAACAGGCCGGATCCAGCCCGCGGGCCGTAGTTTGCCCACGGCTGGTCTAGTGGGTCATTTAGGATTGATGTTTCTTTGTTGATTTTTTGTTTAAAGGATTTGTCCAATGGTGATAGTGGGGTATTAAAGCCCCCTACTATGACTGTATTAGTATCAATCTCTCCCTTGATATCCTCCAGAGGTTTTTTTGTTTTTTGTTTTTTTGTTTAATCTATTTGGGTGCTTCTGTTTTGGGTGTGTATGTGTTTACCAGAGTTATATTTTCTTGTTGAATTGCTCCCTTTAGTATTATGAAGTGGCCTTCCTTATCTCTTGTTATGTCCTTCACTTTGAGATCTAATTTGTCAGATATAAGTATTGCTACCCCAGCTTTTTTTTCATTTCCATTCTCCTGAAAAACCTTTTCCATCCCTTCACCATCAGTCTGTGTGAGCCCTTTTTAATGAGGTGGGTTTCCTGTAGACAGCAGATATATGGGTCATGTTTTTTTTGTCTACTCAGCTACCCTATTTCTTTTGATTGGGGCATTTAATCCATTAACATTTAAAGTTATTATTGATAAGTACTTGTTTATCGCCATTTTTATTCTTTACGTCTGTGTTCCTTCTTCCTTTCCTATTTCCTCTTTTTACAGCAGACCCTTTAGCATTTCTTGCATTGCTGGTTTGGTGGTAATAATCTCCCTTAGTCCTTTTTTGTCTGTGAAGCTCCTGATTTCACCCTCAATTTTAATTAATAGCCTTGCTGGGTACAGTATTCTTGGATTCAGACTCTTCCTTCGCATGACTTTGTGTATTTCATTCCATTCCCTTCTTGCTTGATGCGTTTCTGTTGACAGATCAGTCGCTAGTCTGATGTAGGATCCTTTGTAGGTAACTTTTTGTCTCTCTCTGGCCACTTTTAAAATCCTGATTTTGTCATTGGTGTTTGTTTGCCAATTTAATTATAATGTGCCTTGGTGTCAGTCTTTTGGGGTTCATTTTGTTTGGGACTCTGTCAGCTTCTTGGATTTGTATGAGTTTTTTCTTCCCTATATCAGGGAAGTTTTCTGTCATTATTTCTTCAAACAGATTTTCTATTCTTTGCTCAGTTTTCTCTCCTTCTGGCACTTCTGTTATGCGGATATTTCTTCTTTTTGTGTAGTCCCAAAGTTCCCTTAGGCTCTCCTCCTGTTTTTTAAGTTTTTTTTCTAGATCCTGCTCTGCTTGGGTATTTTTTCCTACCTTGTCTTCTAGCTCACTGATACAGTCCTCTGCTCCTTCTAGTCTACTGTTGATGCTTTCTATTGAATTCTTTATAGCAGCGATGTCATTTTTCATTTCCTCTTGGTTCTTACACATATTGTTGAATTTGTCTTCCATTCTTTTCAGCCACCTTATGACCATTTCTCTGAATTCTTTCTCTGACATATTGATTGCCTCCTTTTCGTTTACTTCCTTTTCTGGTGATACCTCCTTTATTTTTTTTGCGGGCTGTTTCTTTGTCTCCCCATGATCTCTCTTCTCCGGGTGTCTGGTTATGTAGCTCTCTCCTTTCCGTGAGGAGGAGCAGGGATCGTCCGAGACCACGTATTCACACTGCTTGAGATCCGGTGTTCCTGGGTTTGTAGGTGGTCCCTGGGTGCCATGGTTGCAGGGTCCCTGAATGTATATGCTTCCAATAACAGCCACTCTCCTGAAAAAAATTTTGATAGTGAAGAAGGCGAAGAGCAAGGTGTGTATGGTCTTGGAGCAGGGGATCGGAAATTAGATTCATAAGTAGGATGAATTTTTAACAGGTGGTAAAAAGAAGGAATAGGGAAAATCTAATGCAGGAATAGTGTAAGAGAGCAGGACAACAAAAGGAGAAAAGTGAGGGGTGGAGTTTTGGCATGAAGGTAAAGTTGAGATAGGCATGTACCTTGGTTGCAGGCACATCCCCGGCAGGGCTTGTGCAGGAGGCAGCTGATTGATGTTTCTCTCTCATTGATGTTTCTAACTCTCTGTCCCTCTCCCTTTCTCTCTGTAAAACATCAATAAAATATGTTTTAAAAAAAAGAAAATCTAATGCAAGAATAGGGTAAGAGAACAGAACAACAAAAGGGGAAAAGTAAGGGGTGCAGTATTGGCATAAAGGTAAAGTTGAGATAGAGTAAAATGATGCCAAAGGAAAAATGAAAATAGAATGTAGAACATTAATCCCAAAATAAAATAAAGAGAAAATAAAATGTAGCTTTTTTAAAAAAAAGGATAAAATAGTAGTAATAATACTAATTAAAAGTAAAAATATAATGATTAAAAAGGTAAAATCAAGTAAGAAAAAAACATTAGTTTCTTAAGTAAAAGGTGAAAAAATAAAAATGTGCAGTAGTGAAGGTCATTGACTTCCTCTACTCTTCTGTTTAGCATGCCTTTTTCCTGTCAGGTAGGATAGTATTGAAGTTCCCTGCGATACACTGCTCCTCCGTGTTGTAAACCACAGTCCTGATTTTAAAGCAGGCAATATTTCTTTGTTTCCAGACTGCCTTTATTTGTGTTTACAGAAGAGTCAATTTGTGATTCAGCCCCTGGGTGGCAGTGTTTCTGGATTGACCTCCGGGGCTATAAGTCCTTTCTAGCCAGTATTTAGGTTTTGTTTTCCCTGTTGCACTTAATACTGGTTTGGGAGAATCGAGTGCCCCAGAGCTAGTTCCCTGATTGTTACTCCCTGCTCTGATCCCCAGGTTCCACAAAAAGAACTTTTCTCTGCAGTCTCTGAGAGTGTCCCCAATTGGGTGATCCTATGTATTTGGTTTAGTAATCAAAATCAAGGATTTAAAGAGAAAAAAAGAGCCAGAGTAAGTGCGTGAGCTTGCAACTTTTACCGTCCAGCACTGCGCAATTCTCCAAACGTCTCTTCCACATGTCCTTTTCCCCTGGCACTAAGCTGCCAGCACACTGGTAAAATCTGAGACTGCCTTTTTGTGCCCAGTCCAGCTATGGGCTGATTTTTAGAGTTCCCTTCTGCCAGCAGCCCTGCAGATCCCCTTCCACACTCGCAGATCACGCTGGCCCCAACGGCCATGGACTTTGTGGGGTGTAGGCTTCCCCTGTGTGCGTTTCTCCAACCTGGATTGCAGACCTCACCTTTCCCTAGGCTAAATCTGACCTTTCTGTGAGGAGGAGCAGGGCTCGTCCGAGTCCACATATTTGTGCTGCTTGAGATCCGGTGTTCCTGGGTTTGTAGCTGGTCCCTGGGTGGTGGTTGCAGGGTCCCGGGATGTATATGCTTCCGATAACAGCTACTCTCCCCTTCAAGATGGCGTGGTATCCGCAACAGAGCCAGCCGTCCGGGAGAGATTTCAGCAGCAGTGGAGGCTGCCTGGTCAGGGGAGCCCAGCCCGATAGTCTCCAACCGTCCCCTGGAGTATAGCTATCACTCACCCACAAATTTACATTCTCCATATTCCACACACTCTCCTTTCATTTTCTCACTCACACATTTTCTTGCAGTCTGCCTTCCTGTCGGCAGCCATCTTCAAGCTTTACTTTTTTATTTTTGGGAATTTACTTTTTAAAGCATCATTAGATTATGCCAACTAATCTCATAATGTTATGTCCATTACATACAAAAAACAGAAGACACTGAAATAAATTACTGAATTAAAGCGCAAGGTTTATATAAATAACTAGAGGCCTGGTGCACAAAATTTGTGCACTCAGGGGAGGGGGGTGTCCCTCAGCCTGGTTTGCGCCCTCTCACAGTCCAGGAGTCCTCAGGGGATGTCTGACAGATGGCATAGGCCCACAGGCCTAAGCTGGCAGTTGGACATCCTTAACGCTGCTCCTGCCACCGCTGCTGTGCTCACTGGCCGTTATCCCGGCTTCTGGCTGGCCGGCGATCCCACCGCCACTGAACACCAGGGGGCAGCTTCTGCATTGAGCGTCTGCCCCCTGGTGGTCAGTGCGTGTTATAGCGACCAGTCATTCCGCCGTTTGGTCGACTTGCATATCAGTCTTTTATTATATAGGAGTAGAGGCCTGTTGCACGAAAAGATTCGTGCAATAGGCCTTCCCTTCCCCTGGCTGCCGGCACCGATTTTCCTCTGGCACCCGGGACCCAGGCCTTCACTCTGGCCAGAGCCGCCTTCAGTCTTCGCTGCTGTGGTCGGAGCCGCCTTCAGTCTTTGCTCCACCGCTTCGTGCCTACGTATGCAAATTAACCGCCATCTTTGTTGGCAGTTAGTTTGCATATCTTGCTGATTAGCCAATGGGAGGCATAGCAAAGGTATGGTCAATTACCATGTTTGTCTATTATTACATAGGATAAGCAGTGAAACTGGGATTGGAATCTAGGTATGTTTTATTCTAAAGCTTATAGTATTTTTTTCTTTGTTTGTTTAGACCTCAACAATGCCCACACTATCAACTGAAGCTTTCAGTTTCTTTGTTAGGAGAGGAGGCAAAATAGTGTACTAAATTAAAATTTTTCATTAAAACTCAAATCAGTAACTTTGTAGTGCTAGAAAGTATTGTGGATCCTAAATTATTATTTGGGGGGAAACTCTTCTTGTGGAAAAGGGAGCAATCAAGAGGGAAAATGAGGAAAGAGTAGGTCTGTAAGAAGCCCCTAGATTGTGGTAAGCAGCTATCGAGCCTTTGTGGTCTTTCAGAATCAAAGATTAGAAAATGACTCATTTGGGTAGTTCTTAAATATGTCCAGACATTAAATCCCATGTATGTAAACCCTCCTCTCCTGCCTACTATACCTTGTTACCCTACTGTGGCACTTGCTATACATACCATAATACTTTTTTTATATATTGTATGCTCCTTGAGGGCAGGAGCCTTACCTAATAGTTTATAGCTGTTTAATGAATCAATCTCTTATTTCCATCAAAAACTTTGAACATAGGGTACATTATGTTAAAAATGCCATAAGATGAGAAAAGAAATAGTAAAAGAAGATAGATGTAGAAAAGAATAGAATAGTAACGAGGAGGGTTAATAAATGCATGTTCATTTGATAATATATTACACCAATGCTGAGCTATGAAATCAGCTTTGAATTTCTTAGAGGTCAAAACGTTGAAGGAAAGATAAGTGATAGAAAAGAAACATTCCCACTGCTAGGGTAGCAAAGCTTTAATTTGAGTAAAATTTCTCCCTAGATTCCTCACAAATCCTGCGTGATAAAATGGACAACATCCTTACAGATAGGAAAGGCTGCTTCTTATCTTATCCTTTAGTGCACGGTAGGTTGTGCATTATTTAGGGTAGTACAAATTGCTTTAACCAGTTACCAGCAAGATTTTAGTAGATTACTCAAGTGTAGTAAGTGTTCCTGGTCTGTGGATGGTCAAGGATTTGTATGAGTTTGGTCAGGGACAAAGCCATCTATAATAATAGAAGTGTAATATGCAAACTGACTGAATGAACAGAGAATGACTGTCTGTCCGGACGACCACACCATGACACACACTGGCACCAGGCCAGCCAAGGCAGGTGCGATGCAATTGGTCGGGGGGCCCCGCCATCGCCCCATGATCGCCCCACAGAGGGAGGCCCAGCCCACCCTCTGCAGGGAGATTGATGGTCGAGCTCTGCAATTGATTGACCCAAAGAGGCAGTCACAGGCCACCCTTTGCGCGGTGATTGATTATGGGTGGGCGGGACCTCCCTCTGCTTAATATAAAGCTAATATGCAAATTGAATGGCGGAACAACTGGTCGCTATGATGTGCACTGACCACCAGGGGGCAAACGCTCAACACAGGAGATGTCCTCTAGTGGTCAGTGTGCTCCCACGGGGGGAGCGCCACTCAGTCAGAAGCCGTGCTCACCACTGGCGAGCACAGCGGCAGTGGTGGGTGCCTCTCCCGTCTCTGTGTCAGTTGGACATCCCCCGAGGATTCCTGGACTGCGAGAGGGTGCAGGGCAGGCTGAGGCACCCCCCCCCCCCCACGTCACAG